AGTGCCGCTTTTACGTTTTCTTGAGAGGCTACTTGCTAAGTCGCGTGTGGACACCGTATTCATACACACCCAAAAGTCTGAGCAATTTAGGGAATTGCCAATCAACATTCAACAGGAAGCAAGAGCAAGAATTGAGGCAACGCCCCGAAAGGCCATGGTAGCCCTTGGAAAAGAGGGCGAAGCCCCCGACGAGATGACCAACCTAGAAGCATTCCACATGAAGAGCATAGCCCGTGTCGTTAAAACCATGACATCAATCACAAAGTTGGACCGCATCTGGAAAGAGGTCCAAGAAACATATCTTAGCGAAAACAAGACATCGATTCCCCGCTCAGTATACAACAGCTTCCTTTCGGGTTACTTGACCCTTCTTAATCCACAACGTGCAGTAGAAGTGTGGAATCACATGATGTCACATGGCGTCAAGCCAGACGTACAGTCGTGGGTTGCTCTTCTGAATGGGTGCGCCAAAGCAAAGGACCTTAATGGATTCAATGCCATGTGGCAAAGGATGGTGAATAGCGGTATCGAACCAGAAAACTATGCCTGGACGACGCGGATCAACGGTCTGATGTCGCTGCGACAAATCGACAAAGCGCTGGCTGCGCTGGATGAGATGGGTAAACGCTGGCTCGCAGCAGAGTACGCCACGAACAACGCGAAGGCACAGGGCAAGGGTCAAAAAGGCGCCAGCAAGAGTCCCAGCAAGGCTGTGAACAAGTGCACAAAACCTTCTATCGAGGTTGTCAACGGAGCGATATCGGCCATTGTACAGATACGTCCCGAATCAATGCGTCACGAGAAGCGTGTAGCATACGTGCAGAAGATTCTTGGGTGGGCGGCAAACTTCCAGGTCAAGCCGGACGCCATTACATACAACAGCTTGATACGACTGTACCTGTTGGCCAAGGACACACGGACCGCTTTGAGACTTTTATCGCAGATGGAGAAGGAAGGGATTGAGGGCGACATTGCAACGCACACAATGCTCATGAGCGCCGCGTTTGAGAACCAAGTGTTTGACGGGCAGAGTGAGCAGGAACAAACGGAAAAAGTGCTGGCAATTTTGGACGACCTAGAAAGCAGCGGGTTGACGCTGAACGACCACGTCTACTCGACAGCGATTGACCGGCTGCTCAAAGGATACGCCAACTACACAGCTGTCCGGGCCGTCATGGAGCACATGAGCAAGCGGAATTTGACACCTTCAGCGCACGTGTACACGTCGCTGGTAACGCACTATTTCCAGTCTGAGCCGGCGAATCTGGCCGAGGTGGACAGCATTGTCAACCTGCTTTTCACGGCGCCACGCATGCCAAGCGACCGCATCCTCTACGACCGTCTGGTAGAAGGATATGCAGTGTATGGCGAGGTAGGCAAGATGATGAGCGTGCTGACACGCATGTCGAAGCAAGGGCTGCTCCCCGGGTGGGGTGCGCTGATCGCAGTGGTACGGGCCTTGGTGCAAGAAGGCGACTACGAGCGTGCGCGTGATGTGGTTCGCGACGTTGCCAAGGGCGAAGGCGTGGCGAGAAGCGGTATCCTAGGAGACCGGAATATGGAAAGTACCTTTCGCAACATGGTGAGCAGACTGGGGCTTGGCGAGGAGCGCATGGCCGATTTCTTGCCAAGTGCAAAGCAGAGGAATAGTGGCAGTGTTGTGCATCACTTTGTCGAGAGAGAGGGCCTCGACTCTGCTTCGTTGGCACAACAGCAGCAACAGCAGCAGCAGCAGCAGCAGTATGTGTCCGACGAGGGACCGGTCGAGGAAGATGTGCATGGTTTCTTAGCCAAGGAACGTGAACCTGAGCTACCAGGCCAGAATCCCTGAAAGGCTGTGTAAGATGGATAGCTTTTTAGTTTGCTTTGCTCCATTACAAAGAAAGAAGGGATTTTTAGTCGTGCACACATCAGCATATGGGGAGAGGTTGTTTGGTTGTTGAAACTTTGTGCAGTCACATCTTGATAGTAAGCCTTTTGTTGCAAATGTTTCTTTGTTTTCTCTCTTCTCCTGCGTAATCACCAGTAGGGTCGCTTCCCAGTATTGATACTGAAAAAAAAAACGTTGCCAACCCATCCCTCAGATCCAATGTATACAGAAACCTTGAGATGGGAGAGATTTGGGGCGGTGGTCTTGATTAGAATGGGCAAAGATGCTCGCATGACATAATACATAGCAGGGATTCCAATGTGGGGGACCCGACGATAGGGAGGCATTAATTTTGACCCTGAGCATGACCAATCACAATGTGGAAAGAAAAATTTTCTTTTTCTTTTTTCCGTCATTCATAATTCTTCCTTGCTGCTCGTCTTTGTGGGCAGATCCTTGGGAGAAAGGGGCCGAGTCCAATTGCTCGTGTTCCAAGTGCAAGTTACTTCGACCGAGGCGGACTAGGAATCACCAAAAAAAAATAGAGACTAGTGTGGAGTAGAGTAATGGAAACCGGAAGATTAGTGTGTAGCAGTAGAGTAATAAGCACGGCCCCCCTCCATTCCCTCTTTTCTTAGTGGGAAAGATTAAGAGAGAGTTAATTAGTAATTTGACACGGGCAAATTAATTTGATGGTTAGCCGCTAGTAAGTGAGAGCCGATAGAGGGTGTACTAAGTAGATAGTGTAAATACGAGTAGTTGACGAGACACGTGTCGCACCTACATTGTCTCGGGAGATGGGGTTTCGAGCAGCATGAGTGGTAGTGGTGTCAAAGGACGGGTGTTGATACAGGCTTGGGGGAAGGTGGTGAAACGGACTTGTCTTGTCACCTGTACTGACTGAGGGCTATCCCACTCGGGAACGGAGTTGCAGGGGTTTCAGGGTGAAGAAGGATGCTTCTGATAGGGTTTGGATACGGGCCGAATGAGCAAAGGGCGTAAGCATAGCCGTTAGCAAGATATACTACATGCTTTTTTTGATGGCGGCGTGAGTGGAGGGTGTTGGTGGGTGTTGTTGATTGGTAGTATGCGCATGGAACAGGGCGAGCGAAATTTGGACAAGTGGATGACTTGACGATATGCTATGTTGCACGATCATAGTGCGGACGGAGAAACCCCGGGAAACAAGGAACAGGAATGTAGTGAAGTAAAAATAGGAGGTGGACGGGGAAGGACATGCGGGCTAGAAGATGGGTGATTAGCAAATGAGAGAATGAGCAGAGTATCAAGACAGCAAAATGATGGGATGCAGCGACAGGCACTCCTGGAAGGTGCAGATGAGGGGATGGGGGGTTTACCACACAGGAAAACTCAAATGGGCAATGACGACATGGTCGATGGCAGTCAGGGGGGGGGGGGAGTTCGGCTTTTTGCAGGCCAGGTGCCGTCCAGAACCGTTCCCAAGGAGGAGGTTGCGGAAGGAGGAATAAGGCCGGCCAAGAACGATATCGGCTTTGTGTGACAGAGACGGGCAGGCAAGTATAGTCTTACGCCGCCCAAGAGGGATGTCAGGCGGCGTATAGTACTATTAGCGTGCGAGAGTGGCAGCATCCTTCCTAGTGGTGTTCGTCTTCGCGAAGTCGAAGGCTTGTTGTTCCTAATTTTATCCACACGGACATGAGTACTTGGACGACCGACAGATGGACTTGGAGAGAGGCCGCGTCATCGGCCCTCGTGTGAATGTCCGATACTGGGCAGGGTCCAGTGGCGCAGTGCATGCTGCGATAAAGCCTGTGCAGTGCAAATGCAAAACGTGAAGAGTAAAGTGAGTATGTAAGAAAGTAGGCAGTTTGCTCGTGCCGAGCGTCGTTGACATGAGGCGGATCGACGGGACATGGCATGGGCAAACCATGGCCCAGGGTGGCTGGATGCCCAAGCAAAACAATGTGAGGTTCTATTGGACGGTCAGCTCCGCGCCGTATAAGTATGTAGTGAGCAAGGTGACAGCTTCGACGTGCTTGACCGGCGACGGGCGTTTCGCACCTCTCGCACGCTACCAATGAAAAGACGCGCGAGTGTGAGAGGGTGTGCGAGTTTCTGCGACTGCCATCACACATGCTGCTGGGCTGCACACGGTTCTGGACTGCCGCTGGAGCCGGGGAGGCCATGCGAAGACTGAGTGCGAGTGCAATGTGTGGTTGTGCACCGCATCCCGTTCCGGCGGGCGGCCTAGGCAGCCGCCGGCCAATCATGCACGGTGGCGTGTGAACAGCCCAGATGAGGCAAGGAGCCAGAGCCAGCGCTATTGGCAAGCCGATAAAGGGTGTATGCACTGCAGGGAAAGCGCGTGCGAGTATTTGTAGTTGGTATCAACTATGCGAGCAAATACCGTGTAGCACACAGTTGGTTACTAGTGCGCATCAGCAGTACGAGCGTAAACGCGCGTTGGCGTGTCGGGCGGCGGTGATGGCTGTGGCTGGAACGCTGCGACGACATGCCGACCTAGCGTCCCGGTGTGGCTGACTGGCTGACTGGCTGGCTGCCAAAGCAGGAATTACCGCAACGCTGGCCCGAAGCGGCTAGCGCGAGCCCGCTGACAGCACAGCCTCAGTGGTGGTGCACCATGGCGGCCCTTGGTTGGCTGCACCAAGCGTCGGCATCGGCGCCGCGAGGCCGGGGGTGCATGCTATGTACACCTGCCCAGCGCAACATCGTGTGCTGGCTTCGAGGGCAGACGGCCGTCAATGGCGGCACGCATCAGGAGAGGGTGCAAGCAGCAGCGCAACAAGGGCCGGCTCGTCCACGCACTTGTCCATGCCGTCCCGGTTGTCCATGTGCTCGGCCGTGGCGTCAGGGAGCGTTGGGGGTATTCCCGGCGCTCAGGAGACGCCAGACCAGGGCGGCTGCCAACGCTGGGTAGGCGTTGATCGCCCCCGGCCTTGTCCTGCTATTTGCAGCCAGAGACTCCGCCTCGATTGTGAAACGCCTCCCCGACGGGCGGTGGAGCCCCCCCCCAGCACAAGCACAAGCAAGACCTGCGCCCGTCCCTCGTCCACCCATTCCCTTCTCCTCTTCTGCCTACCTGCCAACCTGCCAACTCGACACATCCTCTTCTCCTGCTTTTCCTTCCGACACTTCCGCACATCCGCCCGTCGTCCCTCGCCCGACTCTTATTATTGTCGACACTTTCCATCTGCGCCTACACCTCAGAACCCCCTTTGCACACAGACGCTCCCCCAAGGTGCGGACCCTTCGGCTCCCATCCTCCGTGCTTGAACAAGGCCCAGAAACGAGCTGACGACGACTCCTAGCCAGCCTAACCGCTCCTGTCGCCCTTCCCACTGCCCGCACCGCGACGTCCCCAAGACACGACCTTGTCTGCCCAAGGGCCGCCCAAACACCCAGCCGCGACTCCCCAGTAGTCAAACAAACAACATGGCTACCGCAGTTCAACCGGCCATGTCGATGGCGCCCTTCAACGGCCTATCTAATCAGTGCGTCGATCCCAACGAGTTCTTCGACTTTGGTCAGATGCCCTCGCCCACCCAGCCCACCACCCTCAAGCGTGAACAGAGTGCTACGTCGGCTATGGGCAGCCCGACCAGCACCAACATCGACGACGACCTTCAGACTCCAGCAAAGCCTAGCCACGAGTACGAACGCTTCAAGCAACAGACCGGCCTTCCCTCTGGATCCATTGCCGGCCTCGCTCCCAACTACAACACCGGCTTCCCTCTCTTCTCCTCCTCCGGCCTCGACGAAATGGCCATGATGGGAGGCGACTCCATCATGGACGGTAGCGCATGGAACAGCGGGCTCTCCATGGAAGTCCCCATGAACATGGGCATCGACTACCGCAGCAACAGCTTTGTCTTCAACGAAGGCTCCCAAGACGACTTTGTCGACCCCAGCGCCATCACTCAAGAGGAGGTACCCAACGTCAGGGTCTGGCCTGGTATGCACCAGCAACAAGCTGCGATGGCCAAGGCGCAGGCGCAGGCCCAGCAGCAGCGAGCACAGCAGCTGGCCCACCAGAAGCAACAGCAAGCCCTGCAACAACAACAACAACAACAGCAGCAGCAGCAACCCCAACTCCCCCGGTCCCGTCTGCCTTCCACTAGCCAGGCTAGCCGCAAGACCTCGAGCCCACTTAGTGACGCTCATACTGAAGAGATGATCACCCGCGTTGTCGCACAGATCCGAGCCGACAGCCAAAACGCCTCAACATCCATGCAAGACAACAACCAGGGTCTACTCCCCCACATCATCCGCGCCAAGAAGGACGAGGAGGACATGGACGAGGATGAGAGGCTACTTGCCTCCGAGGAGGGTAAGAAGCTTAGTTCCAAAGAGCGCCGTCAATTGCGCAACAAGGTCTCCGCGCGCGCCTTCCGCTCAAGGAGAAAGGGCAAGCAATACACCTCGATACATGTGTATACAATCTCAGCTAACGTCGTGCAGAATACATTGGCCAACTCGAAGGTGAGGTCGCCATGAAGGTCAACGAGGCCAACGAGCTCCGCGCACAGAACCGTCTTCTCATGGAGGAGAATGCCCGCTCGCGTGCATTCATTGAACGCCTTCTCCGCCACCAGGCCTTCACTCCCTTCCTCGAGGAGCTCTCCCGCGACGAGTCTCTTCAGATCAAGGCTCCCATGACTGCCATGCCTTCCACCTCCGCTGCCGTTACCGCTGCTCCCGCTCCTGCCTTCCAGCCTCAGCCGCAGTTCAACGCCATGTCGCAGCCCGAGGACCCCCAAGTCAGCATGACTATGGCTCCTGAACCCCAGATTGACTTTGCCATGCTCAACTTGAACAACTCGAACAACGCCAACCCAAACTGGAACGTCAACAATGGCTTCAACTTCCAGCAACCTGTTGCTTTCGCCGTTACCGAGCTTCCCGAGGGTCCCTCGAACCCTCTCGACACCCAGGCCATGTCCGGTAAGGGATACAGCGCCATCTTCAATGCTGAGGATGATGCATCTGTTGAGGACATCAAGGCCGACTACCCCATCATTAAGAACCCTGTTCAATCTACACAGCCCACCGCCGCACCCGTTGACGAGGCTGAGGAACAAGATGACGAGTATGACCTCTACTACTCCTCGCCTGCTCGTACTGCTACCTCAGCCCCACTTGAGGAGCAAGAGGTTCTCTTGACCAATCCCGACAAGGTTTTTGCACACTACTCACTCGTCCTTTCCGATGAAGCCAACGAGGCACGTCTTGCAGACCGTCTAGAAAGGAAGATTACCGCCATGAACACAGTCATGCAAAGAATATCCGACGTCACATCCATGTTTGACGCATAATTCTTTTGCAATATACATGGTCTTTTTTTAAAAAAAAAAAAAAAAACTTTGACTTTCTTGATGCTTCGATCAAGCCCTACAATTTCCCGTGGCTTCATCTCTTAGACTGTTTTACACATGATTGGACGATTCCTTTTATTATTCTTGATACCCAAGTCAGCTTTCTCTAGGTGCGACTTGGGTCGAACTACAGCGAGCGTGCATAGCTATTTTCCTTTGTTCATTTCGGCGACTGCGCAACGGTATCAAGCGTACATCAATCCTTTTCAAAGGCGTTTTAACGGTATTGGGTTTTTCTTGTAGATATCTTACTGGCCCCGAGGTCAAGTGGGGATGGATGAGATGGAACAGGGACACATAGACTGTCCATGATTCGAGGGTGTGTACGTAGACATTTGCGAGAAATCCAAATATAGTACCAAATGTTCAGGAGCAGTTTAGTATTCTTGAATTGTGTGTGTGCGTGATAATGATTACGCAATGCATTGAGGACTGAGTGGTCGAAGACAATAGGATAGGGGTATATCAACGTCCATCTAAATTGCCTTGAAAGTCTTGGGCATACAAGGACAAGGTAGTCAATTTGATACACACAAGATTGTTTAAAATACGAACAAGATGCTTGTACATGCATGGAGCACAGGCGGGCCATTTTCATCACATCTCACATCTTCTCACTCATGAAACAAGACCTGATATTTGTATTCATTCCTTCATCTCGTACCCAAAAGAGAACAAAGGAGAAAAAAAAACAACTCCAACTTTCCATTGTCGATTCGTCTTTTCCAACCCCAGAAACCCTTTACATACCCCAAAAGAAAAAAAACAAACACTGTTACCAAGCAAACTAACGGAGTAGCTATAGTAACGCCCTTTTCCCCTTCCTCAACTCCACTAACACAAATATCGACAAGAAAGGTTTTTTAAAAAAGAAGAAGAAGACGAAGAACAATCAAACAGCGCCCCCCTTTTTTTGGGGGGGGGGGGTTTCCTGGGACTGAAACAAAGGCAAGAAACCCCAGTATTCCTATTCTCCCTCACTTGCTCTCGCTCAGCGCCGGCATGCCGCCTGACAGCGCGTATCGGGCTCGTGCGTGTTGCTGTTGCCAGCGGGTGCGGGCGCCGTCGACGGCGGCGCCTTCTTTCGAGGCGACGACGGTGGTGTAGGTTAGGCCGAAGGCTGGAGGGGTGAGGTGTTAGTTATTTTGGTGGGAGATGGGATGGATGGGGAGGGATGGCGGGAAAGAGAGACGGACCCATGAAGGCGGCAAAGGCGGGGAGATAGGACTTTGCTGCTGCAGGCATTGTTGTTGTTGTTGTTGGGATTGTGATTTGGCGGCGGTACAGTAAGATGGTTTTGTGATGTTGAAGTTTGTCGGTCTATGTGACTTTTTTCTCTTTTTTGCCTTGTAGATTGCACTTGAAGCGTTGGTAGGCAAAGATATGTGGTGGTTATCACTGTTGATGATGTATGGAGATGATTAAATGTATGTGACCTTGGTGGATGGAAAAAGGTAACACAAGGCGAGAACACTAACATTCTTTATATTCATGAGAATCATCATGATGCTGGCCCATTTACCTGTTGTCTCTGCCTATACGGTTCTCTACCGCCCAATGCATCATCCATTTGCCAACCCCATCTTTTTTTGCGTTGCGTGATACCCAAGGCCCGGAATCAGGAAGCAGGAAAAGCATTTAGGCGCATCCCAGCGCGAAGGATAGGAATGGCAGGGGTGCGGATCGTGAGACGTCGAAATAAAACGCATACTGCTATTGGCTGCTTGCGAATATGTCGCGTGATGTGTGTATATCACTATAGGGCTGCAGAGGTACTGGTGGCGAGACATGGGACTGAGGAGGGTGCGTGTCGGGCTGCGCCGGCATGGGGGTGGGGTGACTTTGTTCGTCAAGGTCGTACGATCGTATGATAACCACGGGCCTGGGAATGCGGGTTAGTGCCAACAACGTCGAACTTTGGCACATGGAAGCTGTTCAATATCCTTGACCTCGATTCCTGAGGTTCGACATAATTCTCTCATCTTTTCGGATGAATCGAGCGATTGTTTGGTGGTTGGCCTATGTGGGCGCGTGAGCAATGTGTCGCATTGGCGCTTCTAGCATGCAGCGACTTCCTTACTCGAGGACCTTGCAACAACAGCAACAACAACACACGACATCAGACCGTCTACTCATCGTTGATATTCGCCTTTGAGATCTCGATGAGATATACAGTGCAGGCTCGTAAACTACTCGCTGGCTATTTGCACTTGGGCAAGTAAAACATGGTACTGGAACCACCAGTACTCATCTAGAGCGGATTCGACTTCATCAACAAGATGCGCCTCGCTCCATACCCTTCGTTGCCTCCGCTGTCCCGAGGTGCATAATTTGATAATTTGCATTGTCAATGATCATAGACTAAGTGTGATGTTCTGCTGATCTCACAGATATCCTTTATGGACGAACTATAGCAGTAGTTTTGTGTTACAGTGGTGCCGAGCAGACAGTTTGGATCGCTACCGTACCACAATGGCAGTTGGATATGAAAGCTGTCTTTCCAAAAAGGCGACACTTTCACATCAAACCTATCGCCGCTGTCATGACAACAACTTCGAACATCAGCGCAATGAGCGTGACGGCCTTTCCCCAGTGGACGAAACCGATGCCACCTGCCCATTACTGGAACACCATGGAGATGGCGAATCATCTAAAGGAAAAATCGCTGTATAGCGAGATTCGCGCTGCGTCTACAACCACAGACATACCAACTCCTAGTACAGTGAGCGTGATAGCTACTCCACTAAGGTCTCCTGGATCTACTGGGCTACCTCCTCCACCCATGACCATTCGGGGAACTCATGGTGATTGCGAGGTACAGCCATCGGGTTATGGCCCCGTTCCGAAGTACGACAACATGCGGGGATTCTCCTACTCGTCAGAGATACGCCATGCGGCGGAGAACGCCCCGATCCCCCCCGGCTACATCGAAAGCTTTGTCTCCGCCAACGGATCGTTTGTCGGAAGCCACTATCTCGGTCACTACGAACTAAAGTCCTTTGATACACTCGAGTGTGCTAGGAGATGCGATGAATGGGGCAAGCTAGCTAGTAGTCTGCTTGGCGATGGCCCAAGTAGCAGTAACGAGTCGAATACCCGAGATGCTAGCCCAATCGTCGCAACGTCATATAGGAATACGGATAACAGGGGCACGGAATCTGGCCACGACCAAATCTGTCAGGGTTTCAACACCTACTTCGAGCGGGCGCCTGCAATACGGCTCGGTCCCGGATGTCGGGAGTCTGCAAGCCGAACAATTATAAAGTGCGCCCTGTGGGGGGAATCACTTCGTATTGAGGGCGCTAAGAATATTGGATACAGAGAGTGGGATTTTGACGTGGTCATTGCGGGTTCCAACGGGTATAGTCTAGAGAAATACGCCGAGTCAAGCAACCTGGCCCCTGGGAAGAAGCTAGAGCCCGTGGTTCTTGCGGCACTTTTTGCACTTCAAGTGTTTTTGGGATTCATGGCACTTTGGGGGCAAGACTGAAGGCTCAGGAAACATGGAACGGGGCAGGCTGCTTGAATCAGTTAGGCAGGCGTTCAGCTTGGCTTTTATTGGTAAGTCCTTATGTAGGGATCGAGCACGAATATGCTGTTCACCCACGTACAGCGAACATTCGTAATATTACGGCAGTTTCAGTGCTATTTCGATTCATTCATTACTAAGATGGTCGCCATATGCCTATTACATACTACTAGACCTACTACTAGACCTACTACTAGACCTACTACTAGACCTACTACTAGACCTACTATGTAGTATCCTGTTGTGAGGCATATGCCATTGGTTCCAACTAAACACCTGTCTTGCCACTAACACCACATTCCACCAAGACTCTGTTGATATTCAACTTTCCACACTTATTCGAACATACTGTTAACATACACACATACGCATAGCAAACCCAGTCCCAAAAGCCAAAAGCTGACTATCCCAAAACCCAGTTATCCTACCAAAAGAACACCTTTTGCAAGAATTCTTTTGTCCCAAAAAAAAAAACCCCCCCGGCGAGGAAACAACCAAAAGAACAAAAGCCTCTCTCCCTCTGCTCACGTCCGTACTTACACCACGACATGAATCCTTTTACAATCCAACACCACACCCACCCCTCTTCATCACAAAAAACTTGGTCTTGGTCGTATCCGTAAACTTCTCCTCCTCAGTCAGCATAACCAGCGCCTCCTCGGAATGCATAAACGTGATGAACTGCTGCAAATGTAGCTCGTCCGCAAACACCATTTCGCCCTTGCAATCCCAGTCGAAGACGTCGTCTGCGCTGTCGCTGCCAATCAGCACGCGCGACAGCCCGGTGGGAACTTCTGACTCGTCAACGTGGTACAGTCGGTTCCAGGCTAGCGGGTGCACTTTGCCTGCTGTTTCCTTGAGCAGAGGTGCGTAGCGGGTTTCGTTGTGCTTGTAGAATTCTGCTCGCGTGACTCCCTCCTTGCGCGTCGCTACTGTGACGAGCACAATGGGGTATTTGGTTGCTGGTGTTGCGGCCATGTCTGAAATCTTGGCTTTCTTCTTGGCTTTCCTCTTGGTTGGTTCCTTTGAAGCTGCTGGATGCTCGTCTTCTCGTTCTTCTTCTGTTGTCCTGTTTTTTTTCTCGGTCCGAATGGGCGGTGGCGATCCGAGGTCCCGGGGCAGAGGTTCAGAGCGGGTCAGAGATTAGGTTAGCGACCGACGGTCTGGGAATTGGGATCAGAAGGATTCGCTTCAATGTTTTTTTTCTGGGATCAACTGTCGATGTTGAAGAGTCAATTCACGAGTAGACAAGAACGGCTTTTCAGTCTTCAAGGGCGAAAAAAAGGAAGCTACGGGACGGACAATATTGCCGTGTTGCGGATGGCTGGCTATGTCTCGGGCCATGCTCAGGTCCTTGCTTTCCTCCGAAGTTTAGTACTCCAGATCATCCATTCACACCCCCAGCTGAACTCGACGCCCCACGGTCGAAACACGGCCTCCTGCATAAGTATGTTGTTGTCATCATAGCTTCTTGGCTTCATCAGAGAACCAAGCGTTAATAATATTGGTCTTATTGTCCGAAGGGTTAGCATGGGACATCATGCCCCTATTGGGAGTTTGCCATAACGAACAAACATGGCTAGTATCTGTGTCACTACTCAGTATACCCAGTACGTAACAAATTTGACACCTGTTACCACTGTTATCTTCTGACCAAGAACAGACAGTATCCATCGCCTCGGGACAGGCCTGTCACGTCCACAGACCCCACCGCCAGCGCTGATCAAGCCAAAGGACACGGAAAGCTATATTCTGGGTATCATTTGGTCAATTGCGACCTACATGCCTATCTACTAGTACAGATTACTGCTTTCTTCACTAAAGGCACGCTATAAGCGCAGGACAAAGCACGGATGTTTTCCCAAACCTAAGAGCTCCAAACGCCATTGTTAGCAAAGATTGAAAGTAGATCTTTGCGTCTTCTAGAAGGCGTACAAGCCCCTCATGTTCCAAATCGACTCATCGATCTGGCTGGGAGTCCATTCCGAACCAGTAATTTGACCAGCAATGCTCTCCCTCTTGTCACGGGGAAGAACTAGGAAGCGTTCAATAAGATCACCATCAATGACACTTTTGACGGGTGCAAAGTAGCTACGGAAAGCGAGATGGTCGCGCCCGGACAGTGGCTTGTCATCAGAGCGGAGTTGGAGCTCGAGCTGCTGGAACATCTTGTGTGAACGGCGTGAGTTGAAGGGGATGAGAGCGCCAAGGGTGCCTTGGAGACCAGCCCAGAAAACGACGCGTTCACCACCTGATAGCAAGACCGTCTTCTGTATTGACACCGGTATGTCATTGGTGAAGTAATGTGCGATCAGGTCGAGCCTATTGGGAGTACCGCCGAGATAGCTCTTGTCGACAAGCAGATCAGAGCCGTCTGGTGACTCGTCAGAAGATTCGGAAACCTTTTGTGGGCAGCGCACAAGCCAGATGTTACCAAACTTGTCACCGCCCACAGTGGTGTCATAGTCTAGCATCTCAGAGGCTGTGGTATGCCGAGCGACGGTGTCATCAACGAAAGGGATCAGGCGATTGGGGTGAACCTGGTCTTTATGTACGACGTACGTGACCGACTGTGCTTGATCGGAAACGACCAATCGGCTACCCTGTGTCTTGAGACCCGTGATGCGCGTTGGTACACAGTTGGGCGCCTGAGCTTTGCGCAGGACTGACTTCATACCGCAATCATAAAGACATAGGTGACGTCCGATACCAGCGAGCAACTTGCCCTTGAAGGCAAGTAATGCCAGAGGTGGATCGCTGACAGTAGTTTCGTGGAAGAACTCCAGTTCGCGGCCAGTTGGATTGATCTTGTATATCTGGATCGAGGCAGACGAGAACTTGTATGGTGTGAAGCTCAGGTCTTTTGCAGTACCAACAGCAAGGAATGCTTCATCATTACGGCTCTCGAAGAAAACTAGAGCGGCACTGACAAGGGATATGTTGCCATTGAGCTCGATAGTGTGAGTGACTGCCTTCTCAGTGACAGGATCGACTACTTGGATGCAAGATGCCCAACTGCCCTGAGCCCTTGGATAACCAAAGTCTACTGCGGGGAATTCGTCGCTGTCAGTTGCACCATTAGACTGCTCAGTCTCCATCGAGCCATTGGTGCCGTCTTCCTTCTTTCCACCACTTTGCGCAATTAGCTGTTGCCTTCGATCAGCACTAATCGTGTTATTGTCGCTCTGAATTACGTAGAACACGCCCTGGTCATGGTATCCGACCATCTTCCTAGGGGTGTACTTCAATGGTATACTTTCATAAGTGGTATTATCCGTCAAATCGTTGAATGTGAAAATTCTAGCGTAGTTAGCAACTATTCTCCAAGCCAACCAATATAACAGTGTTGAGTGGGTAACTGCGTTCAGTAGGAACAATTGGAACCAAAAGGTTTGAACCCTCATCGTGTTTAAGGTGTACAAGGTTTCATCATCGCAATCATGGGAGGAAAAAGAAGGGCTTTGCTTACCGTAACTCATTAGCGCTCACGCAGATGATTCCCTTGAATTGTGAGCCATCAAAGTTCCATGCGGACTTGAAAGAAATGTAGTTCAGTGGCGTCAGCTGCAGCACTCCGGTGCGAGGATGAGTGTAGCCTAGCCATGGCCGCGAAGTCATGGCTAGAATGGCGGGCTCCCCGGCAACAGTGACCTTTGCAAATTTGATAGGCTCAGGGCCGAGGAAGCGTCTCCGGGTATCGCCAATATCACCAGTCATCTCGTCCAGTACCGATCGAATGTACACACCACTTCGCAAGCCAATGTGAAGGAACTGGCTATACCCACGGGACGACTTGTCCGTCATAAGGTTGACGGTCAAGTCGCTTGGGGGCGACGTAAGTGCTTGGACGGAGATGCTTCGCAAGATGTTGCCCTCCATGTCAGGACTCAGATTGTAGATCCTGACCGTTTGGTCACTGCAGCCAACAGCCAGGAAGAAGGCTCGTACGCTACCCTCTGGTACATCGGGCATGGCAAGACAGTTGATGGTACTATCCAAAACAATCTCTTCTTCAGCCATGGCAAGGGAACCATCAGAATCACACTCAAAGTACAGAATCTGACCAGAGCTGAGGGCGATTGCGACTTGGCGGTTGTTGGTTGCACAAGCTACAATGGTGCGGTGCGCAGGAGGTTGCCAATCAGTCAGGCTGGCGTGCGTCGCGCTCGCATCGTCATTGGGAAACTGGATGCCCTGAATGTGACGAATTCCCTTGGGGTGGATTTGGATGATGCAATCCTCGCCAAACTGCTGCACGCCAAGGGTGTTTGTATCTGGAAGGAAACCAGTGTTGGAGGCTTCCTCGACATCGTCGCCAATCTTCAAGACGAGTGTTCTGCTGTGGAGGCAAAGAACAATGAGTGTGTCCGTCTCGTCTTCGCTAGTCAGCTTCGTTGTCCATACATCGGAAGCGTTCTGTGGTAGAGGAGACTCGATGAGATCCAAGACCTCTAACGCGTTCCTCGTGGTGCGGAAAGAACTTCGGCCACCTGTACCGTTGATTGTGTATATCTGAGGCGCGTCTTCCAATGCAGGGTTGGCAACTTCCATGTCCATAATCGGGTTAAGACTTGGCATAGCCTCTACCGCAGTGAGGTTGACCAGAGCGCGGGGACGGAAGAACGGAGGTGCAAACGAGGCCTCCGGGTCAACGGGAAACTGGCTGCTTTCAAAGACTGGGTCATCAGTTTCGTCACCCAGCGACTCCAGTTCATACAAAATGCGGTCTCCAGACTCGCACGCAGCGTAGACGAAACCCGCCCGGAGAATACAAATACTTGTCGTTACAGGAATGGTATCAAAATACTTGATCTTGATGTTCTCGACCGTGCCGTTGGGAGCATCAACGGTAAGCTTGAAGACATCGCCATCCTCTGTCTGTAGAAGATAGAAGAAGTCACCGCCTTTGAGAGAGTATAGAGTACCAGCAACAATCATACGCTTCCGGTTAGGATCTTCAGTCGCGCCCTCGCGGCGTGGAATTGCCAGGCGGCGGACGCTTGACTTGTTGTTGAAGATGCGACGGTATGTGATGCTGTCCTCTCCGCAGCACAATACACCACTCGGTGCACTTGGGCCTCCGGGTACCCGGAAGAGAGTATTTGCTGTGCGATCGACAGGCTCTGACCACTTTCGTACAATGTGGTTCAGACCCAGATCCAGCTCGTAGTACACAAGCTCCTTCTTGATCTCCTCGTAAGCTTCGCCCGTGGGATCAGTCTCGGAATTCGAGTAATCCACTTCGAGCGTTGCAAACATGGGGTTGTCGTAACCAACGTCGAGACCGATCAGGCAATAGACAAGTGTCTGGGGCTTGTGCGCCTCAAGTGGGGAGGAGATGGCAATATCGGTCTGACCACTTCGGGTGAGGATGTAGACCAGCTTGTTCTTCTCCGTCGAGGCAATCATAATAGCGCGCCCTTTCGGGTCGGCTGCCAGGTACTCGCCTGGCACGACACGTCGTATTCCAGACTTGCCGAATGTCTCGAAGTGAAGGGTCTTGAAGGTGTGCTCATCAGGAAGGTACTCGTACGTAACCAAACGTCCAGAGTCGGTGGTTATGACAATGTGGTCTTACAGAGTCAGCAAGGCTTCTTTTCTTAGTAGGAAACGCAGTCCAGTCCACCGCGGGCTCAGGGAGCGGCGAGCTCGAAGGTGTCGTGTGCTTTGAAAATCACTATACTGCTTGTAGCGGGGAAGGGTGCCCGACATACCTTTGGTGCCGCCCGCAATCCTGAACTTGGCAATGCGACGGATGATGCCGAATACATCTTGCGAGTAGAGCTCTTGAAAGCCCTTCTGCCGCCGCGAAACCTCGAGGATGGCCAGCCGGGAGCCGCTCGCAGTGAGGATCTGCTGCTTGCCGTTTCCGAGGAAGTCACCAGAAATGGCATCCTGTGTCGCTGTGGGCTGCTTCACCGTCAAGGCGTACAGCGACATGGAAGAGAAGCTAGTCATGGTGGGCGACGGCGGGCGCTGGCCCGAGTAGTGCTGCCGTGTCTGTCGTTCGAGGATGCAGAAGCTGGCCTCGAATCAGGATGTGTAATGCAGGATTCAAGCAGAGCTTTTCGAAGAGTGGGTGCGCGCCAGTTGAAACTGCGCGGCGGGAGAAAGCTGGCGCAGGCAGTCGAGCATCGTGAAATCTTTACGGTGAAGGAGGCCAAAGCTCCCCGGATCCAGTGTCGGCCCGACCCAGCCAATTGGTGGCATGGCCCCACTAAAATTCTATGT